AAATACAACAATGTTTACTTGTAAATAAAACTCAAATTTACCATTCTGAAAATACGAGCTGCCACTTCATTTCTCTTCACCAAATTCAAAACACCATTAACTTTTCGGTGACAATATCTAACAACTGACTGTAACATTCATATAAATTTAAATAAATATTATTAGGTTGATGTGGCAGATATGRTCATAAAAAATTGTTCTATATTACCTGTGTATAATGGAACCAACAGCAGAGCAAATCGCTATTTGGTAACATTCGCTGGACAGCATTCATAAGAGCACGCTCATAATCAGTTACAAAAYGGATTCTATCATAATTCAGAGGTAGAATATTGCGTATAACAGTGAATAATGCAGAGTATGTTTCTTCTGTTTCACTCCCCAAAAGGACATAGACCATTGGAAATGCCTAAATTGTAAAAAACAATATATTAGAACATTATGACAATAGTAATATACTAATAACGAATATCAACAGAATAAATTGCTTACTACACTTTTGTAGAGTACTTGAAATGTCAGAAAACTTCGCAAGTCTCCTGGCACTTGAGGAAGTGTCTTGTATGTACCATATATTCCAACCATCTCTACTGAAGCTAACTCTTGACGATATCTGTCAATTGCAGAAATGTTTGCAAATATAACTCCTACGCTTACTCCATTTACAATCAATTCTTGATTGAAAAATGCTGTAGAAGGAATTTGAAATGTAGAAGCGTAATTTAGATTTCGGGGATCCCTCAACATTTCTGATAGTTCATGGATGTCCCGAGGCAATTCTGGGCGCCTTGATTGTCTCATCTTTTTCGCTCTCGATTGTGTCTGGAGGAATGTATAGTTTATGGCAGCTTGAGGATGTCTACCAAAAGTATAACAAATTAATATATATTTAGCATAATTTATATACTTGAATTTCACCACAACAATGAAGTAAACTAACTTACCTAATTATTTCGCTGTTATAAAGACTTCGAATTGATGGGGTTGTAGTTGTGCGGTCAACAGCCTTTTCACCAACTACGTTCCTCAAGAATGGTACATCTAAGTCAATTGCTTCTGGATTATGATTGTGAGGAGTTATAATAGAAAGTTGGTTGTCCATCTCATTTCTACTGATTGATGCTGAACCGTAACACTTATGACCTCTGGGATTTCTTTGCCRCTCACAAATTARCCTTTTTGTATTGACCTGTAACTTCTTTTGATAATATTTGTATCCCAAATTATCCACATAAAATTTTGAGTTGAGTCTAATGCCGGGGATTGTTCTGTATGTTCTTGGTTCAGCATCTATCACAAGTTCTTGTGCTCCATCTTCTTCTTCATCATGTGCTGGTACATCTTCTCGCTCTTCATCGTGTGCTGGAGCTTCTTCTTCTTCACCAGGTGCTAGTCGATCTTCTACGGTTTCTCTATCTTCTTCCTGTTGGGGCTGAATTGGAACTACAGGTAACTGTTGGACGTAGGTGTGATCTTGCAGGTGGATGTTTGGAACACCAACTTCTTCTTCTTCTTCGTGATTGGCTGGGATGACGTAATTGTGGTCCCTCAGTGCCATTTTGGAACTAAAAAGTTTTCTAAAAAAAATGCTGAAAAACTTAAAAAATATTAAACAAACAAAAGAAATATAAATAATTAATACAACTAGTTGGCTTTAAAAAAAACCGTTTTTTTTTTTTTGTACTCGTAGATAGATCGCAGGTAAATCGTAGGTGTATTGCAGGTATATCGCAGGTGATGTGCAGATAGACAGATCAATATAAAAATTTAAAATTATATCAGTATCACAGATATGATAAAATATCTATTCAATATAATWATTTTTTTGGTTACATTTACGTATTAAATTTGTTATATTAACGATTTATAACATAATTCATTAATAATTATTCACTTTACTTAAACTGAAGTCGTTTCAGTTAAAAACATACATAATTTAGGGTAATCCAAATAAAGATTGATTACTAATATTATTTTTAGTGTTTCCCGTAGTTAACTAAACAATAAGTTAATTTTGCATATGCTTAAAGTCATTTGATACAACATCATAAAATAGGCAATATCTAAAATTCTTCTAAACATGCCAAAAAATTAATTTCTATCATCACTGTCATTAAATTTGTAAATTATTAAATATTTATTTGAAAATATATTAAATTGAGGAGTACACACATAGTAAAGTTAATAATAGTGAACGAAAATTCAACTTTTCCAAACAGGACTGTTAACATACACCTATATCAATGAAGGTMTATTCAAAATTTGTAAACATATTATTTAAAACAAAGTAAAAAGTGGCTTAAGTTTATCTGTTTTTAATTTTGGTATTAATACAGTTATTATTTTCATGCTATCATATCTTAAAATTAAATTTAAGACATAA